AAGTCCAGTGCTGACCGTGTTTCATTCAGGCGAGCTGTCCTGAGCCCTCAGACCTCACCCTGGACTGGCAGAAGCAGCTCACTAGAGGCCAAATGGCTTATGTGGCAGAGCTGGGGTTGCAGCCGGCGCTTCCCCATCGCCCCCTGTTCCCGCAGGTGGGCAGAATCGTGAGTGCGCGTTCGGTCGGCACACTTTTCGGAATTTCCCCCTTTCCTCTCTCTCCTCCGCTGCCCGTCCACAGAGGACAACGTGTGTCCTCGTTCCTTTCTCATTCGGGAGAGGGACTCCAGGCAGCCAAGGGACCCACAAGCGTTTAGGGGGCAGGAGGTTTGCACCTCCGCTGGGTGAATGGTTTCTCTGCAGCGTTAAGAATAGTCTCTGATGAAATTCTGGCTTAGCTACCTTATTAGCCTCGGACAAGTTTTCTGTTTTTCTTTTTTCCTATTTCCCTCACAAGGCCTCAAGTTTGCTCACCTGTAAAATGGGAGTGTTCTTATCTGTCTGCTTAGTCTGCGGTGGAAATTCAGAGACTTCATGCCCGTAAAGCCTTCCACAAATGGGATCTATTATTATCTGGGACCGCCCCGGGGGAAACCCGAGAGAGGCGGCAGGCTCGCTCCCGGAAAGTTTCGGCGGGTACCCAGAACCCAGGCTTCTGGTCCCATGCCTACCACAGAGCCCCCACGGTGTCGTGTGCGCGTGTCTTTGTACCTGTCTGGGCCTCAGTTTCCCTGTTTGCACCATGGGGGCGAGGTGTGCTCCAAGGGGCTGGAAGTGTCAGCCTCGGTGAGTCAAGGGGCCTTCGCGGAAATTCCAGGGTGGGAAACAGAGGTCAGAGTCCGGATTTCCGGTGGAACCCCAGTCTGCTGCTCCCAAGAGTCCCCGAGAGAGGCGGGTGGAGGCCACGAATCAGAGTTGGGGTTTTGCGGGCGGTGGAGTCCGGGTGCTCCGCCACTCCTGCTGCGCCAGGGGTGCGATCAGAAGCTCCAGCGGAGCTGCGCCCGCGCAGGTCCTTGCTGTCCTACAGCCCCGGGGCGCCCACCTTCTCCTATCCCTCGCCTTCCTCGGACCGCACCTTGGTCTCTAAACACCTTCGCCCCGGACTTGAAGTTGCAGCGCGCGTCCTCTGTCTCCGGCCGTGCGTGAAAGGGCTTTGCGCCTTTGCGCGTCGCCCTATTTTCACCTCGGCCCAGCACTTAAGGGGGCGTTTGCCCTCCCCACTCGTTCGCAGCAAATGGCAAAGGAAAGGGGACACCCTCTCTCAACGACGGCGGGCCCTCACCCGGGGAACTGAGACCTAGGGAAATTTGTAAAGGACAAGTCCCAAGTCTGGCCTCCTGGGGGCGGGCGAGCAGAAAGGATTCCCTCTTTTCCCGGGACGTCCCCGCTGGCCCTAGTTGGGCTGTATTTCATGAGTCTCTTATCTTTTGGGGAGAGGATGTGCTTTTTCTCTCAGCGCTCTAGACGTTACTGCACTGACTGAAGCCTTTTAAGAAAGGGAATTTATTTTCCTGCATCTCAAGAGTATTGGGGTAGCCAGGGAGGAAAAGTTCCCCGTGGGATAGGGAACGAATAAGGCTGCTCACAGGGCGGGTGCTTACTCCAGCAGCGAGAGGAGACCCCAAGCGCTGGGCCGCTCTGCTTACCATCTGGAGCAGTTGAGGGCTGGTGGGCGCTAGCCCTGACTGCTAAAGCAACTCTGAGAAGCTTGGCAAGAAGCTTCACCAAGTCTCTCCAACTGCTCTTTTAAGATCCAAGTTCATTCCCTTTGCATGGGTTCTTCTCCATTCTGGCCCCCTTCCTCTCAGAGATGATATATGGCTGAAATCAGGAATTTCCAAAGACCTTCAAATACAGGTTTCCATGTACCAACATCAAAGGTTCAGTCTGGGCAAGGCCTGGAAATCTGTATTTCTAACAAATGCCTTCCTTTTCACCTTCTGTCATGTGATTAGGCAGCTGAGCCCAGTTTGAGGGTTACAAACTGCACTGAAACCAAGTCACACTTGGGCTATGGAGCCTGGGGCAATGCTCTGCACACAAGTACATCTCTTCGCAGGAGATAGGAAAGTAAAAGGATAAAACCAGCCTCAGCACATCCTTTATAGTCACCCCTTAAACACCTGCTTGTTCTCTGAGGTGATGCTAACCTCACATGAGGGATGCATTCCAAAGTATGTAAGTGATTCTCTTTCATAGTTTCAAATTGCACTTGCTGGTTCACTATTCATCAGAGAGTGAATATCCATGCACACACACACACACACAAAACTACTGCTCTGCTTGGCCTGGGTGTCATTCCTAGTTGTTTTTTTTTTTGTTTTGTTTTGTTTTTGGTCACTCTGTCTCTTTTCCATCTTTTCTTTAGCCTTCTTCCTAGTTAAACATTTGTTATAGGATGAGAAAGCCCAGTTGAAAGCACAAGGACACTCAGAAGAAAAGCTATGAACACACTCTGCTTGATTAAAATAAAGTACACCCACCCTCCCAGGTGAGGCATCTGCTGTCTCTGCACAGCCACAGGGAATTAGTCTTATCAAAAGACTCCTGCCCTCTTGCATTTTTCTTCCTTCTCTGGCCTGGCGGATGTGGAAATTGCCTCCCTCATATTTAGTTCCTGGAGAGATTGGTTCTGGGGTAGGAATTGGGCTGCTAAACACTTCTTTCTCTGCCAATTTCTCATTTGGCATAGTCAGTTTCGGGAGCTTCCACAAACACATCTTTTATAGATGCTTCTAGATTCTGCTTGACACCCAGCAATCTATCTGTTGCATGCCCTTTGCTGATTTTGCTTTCCAGGGAGACTGTCACCTCTTTCCTATGCCTTTCACACCAGCCATTGGCAGTGATCTGCATCCTTATTGTGTGCCCATCACTGGAGTAGTATCCACCCTACCAGACTCAGCTCAGAGTCCTGTTTTCAGAAAGTAAAACAGAGGCTAGGGTCTTATGCAAGGGCCATCTGGGACCCATGGACAGGAAAGTTATCTCTGATTTCCTGTGAGCTGGAAAATGTGTTCCTGGTAGAAGAAGGGCTTGACTCTATGGACCTTTGGGCCTGGGGCATCAGGTTGGTCTTGGAGCTTTGGGAAGTTTTTAGCAGGCCCAGTCTGCATTTAAATTCTATAGAGATGGAAAGGGACCACATTCCCTTCCCACTCCCCAAAAACCTGCATCCCTTGTAGTGTCTCTACCAACATATCCCTCCTGAATGCCAACTGTATGCTGGGAACTCTGGAAGATGCTGTGGGAACTCCGATGGGTCTGATCACCTCCTTTAGGAATGTCTTAGAGGAGATGGATTAAGGATGATAGCAGGGACAAAGTGCTTGGTATGTAAGAGTTCCAGATTAGATAGTCTGAGTGATGGGCAGGGCTCTTGCCCTGTAGATTCAGCAGTGTTTGAAGACAGTGACCATGCACCCACAGACCTGGAATACACCCTCATCCAATTTAGGAATCCAAAATTGGCTCTACTTTCCTGCGATGCCAAGAGCACAAAGCATAACTCACTGGTCTGTCTCCATTCAACGTGGGCATGTGTGCTTTTCCATCTGTGACCCCAGGAGCTTCCTAAATCAAAGGGCCAAGGAAGCCCAGCAGAAAGGGGACCTGGATTTCTGGCAGAGAATTTCTCCCCTGGAGTCCTTGGCAGGTTTGGCTGCAGGCAGGGAGTTCCTTTGAGGGAAGTGAAACAGAAGTTCGCTATGTGCTTATTAGAGGTTACAACCTGCTAAAAAATGATGGGACACATTACCCAGAAACATCTAGTGATTTCCTTTGCTAGCCACAAGCGTATATACCAAGGGGACCTATGGAGGAGGCAGTTTCCCTCTTCTCCCTTCTTTCTCTCCCTCCCTCCCTCCCTTCCTCCTTTCTGGTCTTCTTTCCTACCTTCCTTCCCTCTCTCCACTTTCGATTCTGCCCCCTCCTTCCCGTCTCCTTCTTTCCCTCATTTCTCCTCCCTTCCTCTCATTTCCTCCCTTCTCTTTCTTTCCATATGGCACAGACAGAAGTTGGGGAGATTTTCTTCAAGTCTCTTTTTTAACAGAGAGAAGGAGGCAAAAAGAGAGAAACCCTATACCAAACAACCAGCTATTCCGAAATGGTATACGTTGTCATGGCTTTGGTAGTTAGAGAAATAAACTACTTTGAGGCGAGGCTGACGGGTTGAGCCTTGAATTTGAGAACATTTCAAAACGCACCAAACGCAGCCTCCGGGAGAGCATTCATTCCACCACTCGCATCTCTTGAGGACCGTCCGAGAGAAGGGAGCATGCTAGCGAGCGGGAGCAGCGCCTAACGCCGGCTTTCCCGAGGTCCGCGACCAAAAGAGGATCGTTTCAGAGGTCCCCTGGGTCCCCGCTTCTCGGGGACCCACAGAGCCTCGCTTGCCCTGGCCCCGGGTCCAGGCGCCGCCTCTACGCGCTCTCAGCCCCGACCTCGCCCACCCCTATCCATCCCGCCATCCCCGCCTGAAAGCGAAGAGGTGGGCACCTGGGACGCGCGTCCTGACTTTTCTGCACAGGCTGTCCCGACTCCTCCACTTTTGCCCCCGACGACCCAGAACTGCGGATCAGGACGCGGCATTGGGCCTGGAAGGGCGCACCGTGTGCGCCTCGAGCGTTTTCAGGGCGCAGAGCGGATGCGGGGGGAAGGCAACCGCCAGGATGCGGACTCCCCCTCCCGTTCTTCCAGCTCAAATCCCTGGGAAGGATATCCCTCCCCTGCCCTCTGGCCCCGCTCCGGCCCCGCTCCTCCCAGCCGCAGACCCCGTTGTTCAGCGCTCCCTTGCTAGCCACTTTGCGAGGAACTTTAGCCGGCTCCCCCGCGCCACCCGGGGAGGGATGTTAATGAGGGAGCGTGGCCTGGCTCGGCGAGCCGGCCCGCTCCCGAGCCGCGATTGGTCGCGGCGAGGCGGAAGGATGACGTTATGCAAATAAGGGGCGGGGCTGCTGGGCGCGGGCCCCGCCTCCTCCCTTTGGGGTTAGTGTGCCTGTGTTTAGCTCTGGGGAGAGTCAAACTGGATTCCATAGGGAAAGCCTGCAAATCACTTCTATTTTAGCAAAGAGAAAACAGAATCTCCATCCAGCAGGGTCCACCCCTCTCTCTTTCTCCCTCTCCTCTCTTTCTATCTTTTCCCTCCCCCTCCTCTCCCTCTCTCCCCTCCCCCCACCCTCTCTGGTGTCTCTGTCTACGGCGACCAGCGTCCTCCTCTGCACGCACTCAAAGGAAAGAAACATCTTTGGTTGGGAGAGAAGGAGGAAAAAAAAAAGAGAGAGAGAGAGGAAAAAACTTGCCTGGTTGTGGAAAATGACACTTGAAGTAGCAAAGCCGGCAGCGCGAGTTGAGTCTATTGTTTCTTAAATTGCCATCAGGTTTTTTTTCTTCCTGCTTCTTCAAGTGAAGGTACCGCTACAAAAGGCAACTCGGCCCCTCCTGTCCTGCACCGGCCTGTGACCACTACAAAAAAAAAAAAAAAAAAAAAGCGCAAAAAAAAAAAAAAAACAACACTCAAACCAAAATCAACCAACCAAACAACCCCCAACAGCCAAGCATACATCTCTAATTTTTTTATTTTGGTCTTTTCGTTGGATTTTCCCTTTTTTCTTTTTTTTTCTCTCCTTTTTTTTCTAGTTATCGCTCAGTTTTGAGCGAAGGTTTACATTTTTAAAAAATTTGCTTTCCAGCCCGCCTTGATCTTCTAACGCGAGTTCATCTTCTCCAAAAAAAATCTGGTTGGCGTTTTTCTTTTCCTTTTTTTTTTTTTTTTAATATTTTCAAGGGGGAGGAGATTTTCCACAAGAAAAGGTTGTTTTCATGTTTGGGATTCAGGAAAGCATCCAACGGAGTGGAAGCAGCATGAAGGAAGAGCCGCTGGGCAGCGGCATGAACGCGGTGCGGACGTGGATGCAGGGCGCCGGGGTGCTGGACGCCAACACGGCGGCGCAGAGGTGGGTACCGCGCGGGGACCCGGCCGGCCGCCGAGCACCGGGCCGGGGAGCGGGGAGGCGGCGGCGGCGGCGGCCGCGGGGCCGGGCTGCGCTGCAGCGCCAGCCGCTCCGCTCAGCTCGCCGCCCGGGGCTGGGAGCTCTCCGGCCTCGCCGCTCGCGTCGCCTGCGGCTGGAGAGCGGGGAGCTGCCTGCGAGGAGCCCACGCTTTGCCGGCACTTTCCCCTGTCTCGTCTGTGACTGTTTTCATTTTGTTTTACCCCAGAAGAGGCGTCTCACCCTCGTGATGTTGGATATCTGTGTTTTTATGTGATCGCTCTTTCTTTTCCGGCCGACTTTCTTCTCCTTCCCTTCCTTCTTTCTGCTTTTCTTTTTTTCTTTCTTTCTCTCTCTCTCTCTCTCTCTCTCCTCTCTCTCTCTCTCTTTCTTTCTTTCTTTCTCTCTTTCTTTCTCTCTCTCTTTCCCCTTTTATTCCTTCCCTTTATTTCCTGCTCCTCTTGCTCCTTGCCTCGCTCCTTGCGTTTCCCTCGTTCTTCCCCTTCCTGCCTCGCCCCCTGCCTTCCCTCCGTTCGTCTCCCCTTTCTTTCCGTTCCCTCCTTCTTTCCTCCCTTTGTCCGTCCTGCCTTCCCCTGCCCTTCCTCCCTCCTTCCTGCTGCCCGGCTCTGAGTCCTCTTCCAGAGCGGACCTCGCCGCCTCGCCGCTTTTCTCTCCCCATTTCTCCCTCGAGTCTTCTCTGATTTCTCCCGTCTGCTTCTCTCTCCCCTCCCTCCCTCCCTCCCTCTCTCCAGCTTTCTGCGTTTCTCAGTCCACCCGGCGGATAGCAACTCCCAACTTTCATTCTGACATCCCCACCCCCGGTCGCGGTGGCCCCTTCCAGCCCCTCTCCCACCCGCAGCTCCGGAGCCGCCAGACTGGGTGACCTGGAGCCACTGCCCTTGGCGCTTGACCTGGGCGAACTTTCCTGGGCACATCCCATGCCCTTCCCGGGGCTCCTGGTCCCGAGTGAGAAAGGGCCCCCTTTTATGATCCCAGGCCGTCAGCTGGGCTTGGGGCAGTGGGGGACCTGCTGGCCCCAGGCCTGATCACGCTGAGTGCGGAAGGGGAAGAAGGAAGGTGCCCGCCTCATCCGCGGCTTCCCGTGGCTGGGGACAAGTGTACTCCACACAGTTCGCATCCCCGCTGAGCCTCAGGCCCGGGACGACTGGTAGTGAGAGTGCAAGGGGTGGCCTGGCTGGAAGCGAAAGTGTGTGTGTGTGTGTGTGTGTGTCTGTGTGTGTCTGTATGTGTGGCCCCGGCGTGTGTGTTGTGTCTGTGCCTGCGCGCGCCGGTGTTGGGCAGGTCGGGCTGTCGGCTGCCGCCCGGCGCCCAGCAGAGACCCAGCCGGCAGTCCCCGGCGGGCGCGCTCCGCCAGCCACCCCGCTGATGGCACAAGTAGCAGGATTGCTGTCCGACGGCCAAACTTTGTCGGGACAGGTCTTGGCGGGGGGAAAAACACATACACACTCCGTTCCCTTTCCCATAGCGACCACCTCCGATCGCTCAGCCACGCACCCTCACAGCCGGCTTCCCCTCCGGCTTTCTCTGGGGGTTGGGTTTGGGAGTGCAGCTTCCTGAGGCCGGGCACCCGCCGCCGGCCGGCCGGGGCGCGTGAGGTTTCCTGCAGGGTGGCGGCTGCGGCGGGAAGCTCAGCGTGTCTCCATCCCGTCCCACCTGCCCACGTAGCCGGGACAGGAGAGGACAGACAGCCGGGGTGGGTGGGCAGCGGGGACCAGCGGCCGTACCCCTTCCCGGGAGTTGTGATTCGCGTGCGCTTTGCTCCGCTAACGTGGGATGCCCTAGTCCACCACCACTTCGCCGCCTCCACAACCGGCGCGCGTCAGGCCCGAGTAGAGGCTGCCAGCGATTCGACTCGCGCGCAAACCCAGACCAAACTTTCACACCTCCTCGGCGAGTTCTGAGGACGCGCGCTGTCCTCGGCGGGGTAGACGAGGAGACGCAGGGCCTCCCGAGTCCCGTCGGCAGCCACGCTCCGGGAGCCTGAGGGGGCGCGGAGGGCGCACGCGGGATGAGTCGGGGGCAGAGGCGGTGGGTGTTTGCGGGATCGCACGCGGCGGCCGCTGATAACCCGGGCGCGGGCTGGGGCCGTGTGGCTGCGCCATCTAACTCTGCGTCTTTGACCGCAGCGGGGTGGGTCTGGCCCGGGCTCACTTTGAGAAGCAGCCGCCCTCCAATCTGAGGAAATCCAACTTCTTCCACTTCGTCCTGGCCCTCTACGACAGACAGGGCCAGCCCGTGGAGATCGAGAGGACAGCCTTTGTGGGGTTCGTGGAGAAGGAAAAAGTAAGTGGGAGCAGCGCCGCAGCCCTGGGCCCCGGCTCAGGGAGCAGGCCCAGGCGCTCGGGAGGCGCGTTCCTCCGTGAGTGCAAAGCATCCAAAACACACTCCCATAGGGGCCCCCCCAAGCCACTTCCCGTCCCGGACGAACTCGGGCTCCCGATCCACCAGGTTCTGCTCCAAAAAAAGTTAGTCAGGAGTCCCCGGAGCCGGATAGAAGCGAGCCTGGCCCCACAGCCCCGAGCCTTAGGAGCCAGGGATGTGCCAGTCCTCGATGGGAGACCACGTACCGCCTGCCCCTGACAGCCCAGGCCAGAGCCTCCAGGACCTGGGCAGAGAGGATCGCCCGTGCGCGCGCCACTCAATTTTCTGGAAGGGGAGAGAGAGCAGGCAGGGACCGGGGTTGGGGGTGGAGGGGAGATTACAGTTGTCCACATTTTCTGCGGCTCCCTGGCTGGGGGTCCTGGTTTGGGGGAAGTTGCCTCCAAGTTGATGCTCACGCCGACCTCTTTCTCGCGTCTCTTGTGCCTTGCATCCTGCTGCAACTCAGGAAGCCAACAGCGAAAAGACCAATAACGGGATTCACTACCGGCTCCAGCTCCTCTACAGCAATGGTGAGGCTCCCGTCGGGTCTGTGCCAGCACCTGGGGGGCTCTGGCACGGGACAGGGATGCCGAGAACTCCAGGTGGACAAAAGCCTGCAGCCACACCACTTGACTGTCGTCCTGGTGGTGTATCCCTTTATCCTAAGCCGCACCCTAGGAGATTTCACCCCAGGAGGTCTGGAGGTCTGCCTTGTGGGTGTTGCAAATACCTGGGGCCAGGTGTGGTGCCTCAGCCATGGCTGGGACTGCTTTCCTTCCTCCTTGCCTTTCTGAGGCCTGTTCCTCCAACGTCCAAGGCCCTTTGGGTTCAGGAGGCCTGGAGGCCCGTGATCATTGATGGCTTCAGGCAGCACAGAAGGGCTCTTGCTTGGGAAGAAGAGCAGGAAGGTGAGGGTCTCAGCCTTTTCCCAGCTGCAGCACCAGAGATTTGGCTTGCCAGGGTGCTTGGGCCCGGCTGCAGGCTCCTGTCTGGACCGTGTGGAAAGGATGTCAGCAGAGCTTTCCCTGGACAGTAGGAGAGCCGTTTGCCCTGGGAACCCCTTGCTTTGTGTGTGTATGTGGGTTTTTGTTTTGTTTAACTGTTGTCTGCTCCCTTGCCCCCAGCTGATCCCCTCTCACTTAATTCTTCCTTCTTCCTCCACTGCCACCGCCACCCCCCCACCCCAGGGATAAGGACGGAGCAGGACTTCTACGTGCGCCTCATTGACTCCATGACAAACAAGTAAGTTTCTTAATTTTGTGTCACTGGGCTGACTCTAGGGTCATGAAATTTTGGAAGAATCCAGAAGCTGCTTGTTCCACAGCAGGAAGACTGGGACTTGAACCCCGAAAGCTGGGGTTGACCGCAGACCACACAGGCATGGTGCAGCCTTCCAGTACCCATTCAACCCTTGCCCGCCGCATGCAAAGGATGGCTCCAAGGCTCCTGTCCTCCAAGGGAGGCCCTGGCCTTGTGAATTAAGAGACCACAGGGTGCTGAGCACAGGGAGTAAGGGCTGAACTTCCTCTGACCTGGCAGAGGTGCCCCAGGGGGTGCAGAAGGTGCCTGGGACCCTGTGCGAGGAGGGCTGAACTTCTGAAAGCCAAACTAACCAGGCCTGTTCCAGGAGGCAGAGGATGCGGGGGTCTGGGGTTGGCGGCCAAGGTGGCTTCTCCAGGAATGGTGGGATGCGCGGAGATTGTGGATGACCAATCCATAGGTTTTGTTTTGTATTTTTTTAAATTATTATTTTTAAAGAGGGTAGTGGTGAAGGTAGTTTGAAAGAGGGATGGAGAGTTGTCAGGATATTTTGCAAAAATCCTCCTGCTTTTGCCTCCAACTTTGGCAGGAAGCAGAGAGCATGAGTGAGCTTGCGGTCTTAAAGGTACATAGACGGCATTTTCTTAAGCTCCCCAGCACGCGGGTGTCAGGCAGTATACATTAAGGCTGAGTTATGGTTTAAAGATACAATTATGAGCCGAGTCAGAAAAGAGGTCTGACATTTTAATGAGGTACAGGAGCTTTTCTTCTTCTTCTTCTTCTTACATTTAAGAAAAGTTTAGTTTTAGAATTAAGTAGCTGGTTAGGTAGGATTTAGTAGCAGAAAAAAAGAAGACAGCTTTATTGGGTGGGGGAAAGAAACAGAACAAAGAGAAAAGTTAACCATTGTGTCCCAACCAGCAATTTAGTAAGAGGATTAGAATTTATTTACTTGATTTTAAAATGTTTCTGTTAAAATAAAGGAGGTGATTTTTTATAAACACTGCCTTGGAAAAGTTTCAAGTTGGGGTAGGCATGCATATTTAAAAACTGTCTTTAGATATTCCATAGCTTATATATGTTGCACAAAATGTATATGGATAAGCTTTGAGAGTTTTAAAATCTACTCAGCAAGAGGTAATTTAATAACAGCTAGTTTCAATTATTACTGTCATGTTTCATTGTGACCCAAGTAGAAAACAAGATAACATGAAATATATATTTAAAATAATAATAAATAAATATCTCTTGTAATCTACTTCATGTTATTTGCCAATGATATTTGGCTTTCTTGAGGTGTTTGTATTTTAGTTCATTGGTCAGGGTAATCTCATTTATGCTTTTAATATTGGGCTTGTTTTTTCCTTTAATGGATTTGATTATTACATAGGATAATTCCCTTTCATTTGGACATTGTATTTTGTTAAAAAAATTTTTTTCCTGCCAGATAAAAACACAAAAGCCTGATTTTAGTAACTTTTTTTTTCTTATATGATATCAAAACAAAAGGCCTGAAGTGAAGTTTTGTTTTCAAAAATTGTCTTTGATACCCTGGATATCCTTTCCTGCCATTCTCATCAGAGGATTAAAAAGAGAGGAGGGGGAGGGGAAAGCATGAACTCTAATTCATATTCCATATGTATTTCTTAGGATTCACTTTTTATATGGTAAAAGGCACATGCACGCGAATCAGAACTTGAGGCCTGCTTGCGTAACATTTACCACTTACATATTAAATTACAGGCAGCATTAGGAAATGAACTGTTGTAAGGAGCACAAAACTGGGGCATACTTGAAGGGGCTAACTTGTGCCTGATTTGAACTTCCTCAAAATTTTATTTTAGATCTCTGTAAACAAAAAATCAATATTGATTTTCCCATTAAGAAATGAAGTGACTTTATACACTCTCATATGAAAACAGTGGGAGAGAGATCTCTTGATATTTTATAAAGCGATACATCAAATATCATTTTACTAACAAGGTCCTAGAGCTTAAGAAAAACTGCAGCTTAAGGCATTCTTTGACCTCTTGTTATCATCATAAATTCTGTGGGGAGAAGGGAAGGGAGAGAGAGAGAAGGAAAGAAAGAATCAGAGAGAGAGAGGAGAGGAACAAGAATGAGATATTGTTTATGTTCAATAATAGCAGATATGAAAAAGTAATTTGCCATAAATGGCATATTAAAGTTAAAATTATAAATTATGTATTTTGATAGTGACCTGAGAAAATCTTAATTAATTAAATTAGTTTTTAAAAAAGAAATATAGATATGTCAAGATATACCTATTTGCTTTATAAAACTTGCTTAAATATCTACCCTCTCTATGGCTTTCACTTTGAAAGGCAATCCCTGCTCATTATCCCGTTGCTTGTTTTTTGCTTATGTGCTGTGAGAGTTCTGGAAGTAGGTGAGCTTTTGTGTACACAGTTAACACAATAGTCTTCAAAAGGCAGATAGTCCAGTGGAAAGAAGGCTAACTTTCCCTAGCTGTGACATAGTAATGTATATTTAGCCTTAATGAGTAAAGTTTCAAGGGTCCTCATCTTGGTTGAATAACTTCTAGTCTAATTTAAAATTTCTTACATTTTTTTAGCTAAATATATTTGTCAAATCAGATGTAAGTCTTGATATAAGCCAACAGATTAAATGGTTATATATTTTTTTCCCCTGTGAAATTCTTTCTGGTTGAGTCCAGGTTTTGATATTTAGAGTGCAGAATGGATACTTTTAGTGATATGATGAGTTCCAATAACATCAGAAATTGTGGAGGGAATTCCTAGCTACTGTTAGGCCTCTTCTCTTGGCTATGTGTTTATTGTACCATTTTTCATATCAGGGATGCAGCTTTATGTGTGTGATGTCATATTCTTAACTCACACAGTGGTGTTAAAATGAAAAGGAATCTTGAGCAAGGAAAATCCCAAAGTGACTGTGCACTCAACATTTTAACAATACAGAGCTCCTGATTTTGGGTAGAGTTAGTAGTCTTGAAATCAGACAGAAATGTACTCAATCAACCAAGATGTGTTGGTGTGACACAGTGTTTCACACCTCTTCAAAGTGTCTCATTAGACTGTTTTGGGTAATGACTCTTCATTTTGGACTCTACCTGGAAAGATGCAGCTTCTTGAGAAGTGAATGTCTAAGGCTCTGAGTCCTCATTTATCTGCATGCTTCCTTTCTGAAACATAGAGGATATAATAGCTAAACATTTTGTTCACCAACTAGAAAGAAAAGGCTTGCTTTTGGGAAAGATTGTAGAAACCAAGTTTAGCTAGACTAAAAATAGATTGTTTTTGTGTCATTGCTGTTTTTGGTATTCTATTAGTGTGCAGAAAGCCCTGTAGGATCCAGAAGTTTGTGGCTGTTGCATCCAGAAACCGTGTCTACTCCTGAAGCTGAAACGAACCTGGTGGGGGAGGTCTGAGGTTTACTGTGCTCCACGTCACGTGTTCATGTAGTAGTTGAAATATGATTACATTTGGTTGCTTCTGTGAGTTATTTATCTTTAAACAGTTAACAGAAAAATCCTGTAACTCATCTCCCTTCCTACCATCTTGCTTTAAAAGTGACATTAATTCAGTCACATTCAAAGAAAGGATACCAGGTTTCATAAAGCTATAAAAACAAAACACTCCCTGCCCGCTGCTGCCACTCCACTGCCCCCACCAAAAAGCTTTTTTGGAAAGGAGAAAAAACAGTAGTCACACAATCCTTGTGTGTACGGATTTGAGGGTAAGAGATATGTGGAGGTTGCCCTAAAAAAGCCCCTGCACGGTGGGGGCGGGGGGAGGGGTCCAAGGTACAGCATTCACAGATGCTCTCAGATTCTCTTCCCAGCTAGACTTCTTCATATATTTGTTTGATGTTCCCCATACTTTAAGTTATTGAAGCAAATGCATTTTTCCCCTATTGATTGTTTCGTTATATCCTGCCACAGTTACGTAAACTTGATTAACAACTCTTTCAGTTCATAGTTCTTCATTGGTAGATAAACGAATTTTTAGTATATCAGTAGGTTCCCAAGGGAATTCACTAGGCCAGCAGAGAGTTTCTTTCACATATTTGGGGGAAAGAAACAAAAAAGGACGAGCAAGATTATAGTCAGGGGCCCTATTTCAGCAGCTTTTTCATTCCTTTGGTAACATGTCAAAAATGCAGGTGATTTAAATTTCCTTGCACAGAGAAGAATGAAGAAGTTTGGAATTTTTATGCATGATCAGGACCTGTGTTTGGGAAAATGTAAACTCATCACAGTGGAAAATGTGTTGTTTGGAGTCTGGGGGTGAAAACAAAGCTGATGGTTTTGGAGAGATTGCCGGAGCCAGATGGCCTAGTACTTTCCCCAGTCTGGCGGTCCAACTGCTCCCTCCTGGATAATATACAGCCATTTGTTCGGGGATATTTACGCTAGAGCTGTTTCCATGTGAATGTTTGAACAGCATTAAAAACGAACATATTAGTAGGGATGCATTTATTGAACTTGTACAACTGTACAGATAGTCTGTCCTCTGTCTTTACTTATATTGCTGAGAGCAGTGAAGGAGTGTTTGGACATTGTGGGATTGTTTGCATAGTTGTTGAGCAAGAATGATTTGGTCTTAGTGAGTAATTACAATATATAAGCATTTTGGAATAAAACTAATGGAAATAATGGTAGCACCTACCTGGCAGATCTGTTGTGAGAATTAAATGAATTCATAGAAATAAAAGGCTTAAAATAATGCTGGCACATATTAAGTGCTTAATAAATTAGCTGCTTTTATTATTTTATTATTATTTTTACTGCCTCATTGGGTTGATGAAGCCAGCCATATTTCCCAATAGAGATGTAAATGTAGTTTACCATATGAGTGAAATATCTTATTACTTCCAGAAAAAGAGATATAAAATTGTTAAAAGGGTTGGGGTTTTTCATCGTATTTGAATAATATAGGGGTTTTGGTTCTGTGAGACATAAAAGATGCATTCTAGAGCTA